TTCATTCCTTGTATTTGCACCCCCTAGGCTACCATAGTGCCTGACATATAATAGGCCCTAAATAAAAGCTTGGTAATGAATTGATTGATAGGGGAAAATATCCTTATTGCTGAGATTTGCTTTATGATTCAAGAAAATATATGTTCACCTTACCTCAAAACACAGTATCAGGCATATATTTCCCCCCTGAATGTGACTGTATTTTCTAAAAGAAAATTTGTTTAAAATCTGTTTTAGGGGCAGCTAGATAGCACAGTGGATAGAGATCCAGTCTTGGAGTCAGGAGGACCTGAGTTCAAATCCAGCCTTAGACACTTGACACTTACTAGTTGTGTGACCCTGAGTCACTTAACTCCAATTGCCTCACCAAAAAAATAATAATAATAATAATAAATAAATAATTTTTTCTTAATATTTATCCTTCTGAATTAAAGTTAGGTGGAAATGTTTTATCTATCAGCCAATAATTAAAGTACTAGTACTATTATAAGTTGGTACTTATATTTGCTATTCTCTTCAATTTAAACAATTAACTTTAACAATTACAGAAGTAACCAAGCAGGTAGACACATAAATACTCGGTAGAAAATTAGAAACAAACCTTCAAAACACTGAAGGTGAAGAATTAATAGCTATCAGGAAAATAGGAAGACCCTGTTGATCAACCATTCTATACTTTTTAGAACAACTTCTTTGTTTTTCAACTGGATTTCTGCAAATTTCTAACCTTGTTCTAAGTCATTACTCATACTAAATATTCAATTACTCAGTCAAGAAGTAACATTTTCCTAACATGTCCTGTAGTTAAAATATTTCAGGCTTCAGATATTATTTCTTTCAAAAATGCCTATGTATACCATTTTTTAATTATCATGAAACATCAGTAACATGCACCAAGACACTGTATTTAGTCATTGTAGGTGAAGTAATGTTTTAAAATAATATTTAAATAAAATACTTATTGTACATACATGTTATACACACTGTACCATCTAATTAACTAAGAACATTTACAACTTTCTGAGTAGAAACAAATCCCCAAAGAGCCATGATCACCTACAGAAAGTAAAGGAAATGACTAAAAGCCCACTTACAAAAGAAGTCAGTTTTGCACACCAGAAACACGGCAGATGGTCTGGTGAAAGCAGAAAGACTGAAATCCTCCTAAACCTCTGTTATCTGTATTTTAGGACCTGAAGATATCTAAATTATGAGTCAACAACCTCAAAGTGGTTGATCATCACTATGGGGGCCTATGAATGCCTCTGACAAGCCTAGGACAGAAATAAAAGAGAAAAGAAGGTAGAAAGGAAAAGAAAATAAGAAGAACAAATGAAGTGATAGGGTGTAAAAAGAAAGAAGAGAAAGTGCCCATATATGGTGGGGAAGTGGTCATTAGCTGGCAGCCACTGCTGCAGATACCACTGAGGGGCAGCACTGCCACAGGCTGCTTATCGTTCAAATCATTAGAACTTCCTATGAATCCATAGATTCAGGCTTCAGTGGATAACAAGATAGTATATGCTTCCTCAAATGATATCTTTCCTGAGATAAGCAAAAAGTCTGTCATCATCCTATTCTTGGCAGAAACATAAACAGCTGGTCAGATGACTTGTTAATCACATACTATGGAATTGTAGGCACTGGTATCATGGCAGTAGGGTGAGGTTAAGAGGTAGGGACCAGGGAAACAGGAATAATTCAAAAGCCAGCTTCTATGACAGCAGTATCTATACTCCTTATCCTTATCTGTGTAATAATTAATATTTTATATTTAATTTGCCTATGTGGTAACTGTTCAACTAGGCTAAGTAACTATGATTTTTTTCTGGGTACCACTTTGTTAATTGTATCTTTTAGCAATAAATAGTAAGATTTTTCAAAGGAAAAAAACTCATCTAAATGAGTTGATTTCTCTGAGTGGACAGTATACTTCAAATGCTTAAAATACTAGGTCTAATTATCAATCACAGAAACTTGTTCATAAAGTAACTCTCTACCCAAGCAATTCAATTCTGCACCATTTTTCCTTTGTCAGGTGCTATTCTTAAAAATTCCTCCTACTCATTCTTTTATTGACAAAATTTCCCATTTTTAGAACAGACTCAGACAGGTAGTGACACGATCTGTTTGCTTTCGTTTCAACAATTAACTGTTCTCTTGAAATTAAAATGGTGATTTTTAAATGTTTTCTAGCTCAGAAACTTGGGGCAGTTCTCATATTCTCTGGCTATTAATAGGCAATCAGCATTCTAATAATAATTATTACAATTATTTTTAACATTTATATAACACTTACTATGTGCTAGGCACTGTGCTAAGATCTTTACAATTATTATCTCATTTGATCCTCATGACCACCCTGGGAAGCAGAGTGCTGTTATTATCCCCATTTTACAGATGAGGAAACTGAGGCAACAGGCATTGTGATTTTCCCACGGTCAGACAGCTAGTAAGTGTCTAAGGCTGGATTTGAACTCAGATCTTCCTGATCCCAGGTCTAGTGATCTATCCACCGCACTACGTTGCTGCCCTACTCATATGGGGACAATTGCTTAAGCATTAAAAAAAAAAAAGATACTCACTATAAAATATTAAGACTGAAACTTCACATTTGCTTAGTAGCATGCCCATGCTTACAATCATATATGTGTTGTGCTGCTTCTCATAGTCAACATACAAAAAAGACTATCTAGCTTTAAATATATATATATACATATACACACATATATATGTAATCCAGTATTATATATGCAATGTTTTAAATAAATCCTTAAAATACTCATGCTGTTTGTCTTATTATAATTATAGAGCAAGTAGCATATTTCAATTATCTGGATGAAATTAAGATTTAATAAATTAATACTTAAGTAATCTACTATAGTTTTACTCACTTAAGGAAGATTAAGATCTATAGCCTACTTTAAAGAGAAAAAGAATGTTACATTTCATTTAGCCATATATTTATAAGGCAATAGTGTCTAGTGTACTGAAGTGCAGGACCTAGTAAGACAGGTCAAATAAAGGAGAAAAAAAAAACTTTTTCTTGCCTACAGAATAAAGTATCTCCATCTGTAGTATTATATAGGGTATTGATTCAGAAAAGGGAAAAAAGGATAGAACATATAGATATTTGATTTTTTCACTTGCTGACTTCTTGACTTGGTGTTCAAAATGAAATAGCCTCTCGTTAGAGAAGCCAATGTTTGCTTTTATGTTTTTCTTTTATTCCTACTATAGAAAATATTGCTAAAGTGCCTCTCCATTGCTCCAAAGAGTAGAGCTTCTAGTCTACAGAACCAAGCTTAGCATAGTGCTACCTTGTTCTAAGTTGCCAGTGAAGCCCTTTTCTTCACTGGGTGCCAAAAATCAAATCTTGGCCACTTAATGCTCTGTGTTCCACATGTTAGCTCACAACATGTTGAGCAGCCGTGCTAACTGAGATGGATAGTGCTGTCAAACAGGAAGCTGGCACAACAGGATGGAAACAGTGGGATACGATGACCTTTACATTGAGAGAAAAATGTCCCTGAAATGGCATGAAGAGTTTAAGAAAAAAAGAAGGGGGGAAACCCTTCTTTTATTGCATTTAAGTGCAAAGCATGAAATAAAAGCAGTGTCGCCCTGTATGCAATTTGCTTGGGATCAAATACTGAATCCCTCTCACAAGAAGGAAAGTAGTCAGAGGAAGGAAATGAATCATCCTTTATCATGCTGCTTTTAAAGTAGTTTGTTCTAGGATTAAGCTAGCATTACTGGACCCAAGCTTGCAGACCACTCAAATTCAGACTCCACTGGTGCTCTCTTCCAATATGGAGAACACATCAGTTTTTGGCTAGGGTTCTTTAATCTTTGGTTTAGAACAAGGGGGAAGGAAGATGGCATATTGGAATGACTAAGTAGTAGTTAAAATAATTAAAACATGTTCTAAAAGTCTGTGATTTATTTACAGAAATAAAAAATCCATGACTCAGGAGTTTCAGTCTCTATTTCTCAGTTACCATATAGCTTTGCATCTTAGCTTCTTGCTGCTCCTCTACCAGTAAATGGAAATAATATTACTGACCAAGCTCAAAAGAATATTGTGAAGAGGAATCGATCAAAATGACAATGAAAATCTCTGAACACAGAGAAAGCTATACAAATGTTAAGTAAAAGTAATACTTCGACCTCTTCTCTATAACAGTCCTCATAAAATTGTCATTCAGGCATTTCTGTTGCCACATAAGGATAATCATTTCAGTGGAACAACTTTTTCAGCCTTCTCCTAATGGTTTTGTTTTGTTTTATATTCTGTGGCATTGTAGAACAATGACCCAGGCTATAGAATGAAACAATGGAGTTACAGGATGGCTTCTATAAGATTGCGTCCATAGGATAGTAGTACATGCTGAAATATGCCATTTTCATTAAAGAGGTAAAATGAAATCATCATAAAACTAGCGAGCACAGAGTAATTGGCATTTATGTAGCATGTTAAAGTTTGCAAAGAGCTTTTTATGCATAGAACTGTTGTCATTTTTAAAAATAAACAAGAGTAAGGATACATGATTTTATTATTGTTATTATTATTACTAAAAAAAAATCTATCAGTAAAACTTAGAGGTCACGAACCCAAAGCAAAGAGAAAGGCTAACTCAGTCACATCATATAGCAATAGCTCCCTAACCTTCTAGGTGGTCTGACCTTTTAGCATGTTTGATGAGTGTTAAGCAAAAAATTAGAGGACTTAGATAGCAGAACTGTTTTAGAAAAGGGGGTGGGGGACTCCAGAAAGACTATTGGCACCTCTAGAAGATTCTAATCTAATGCTTTGCAGAACAAGCAAAAGGCATAATGCTTTCCAGTGACCAAATGAGAAAACAGGTTATTTTAGCTATTTCTCCAAAAAGTAAAACTACAAATCATCCTTTATCCCCTTCACAGAAGATGATTTCAGGGAAACTTAGTTTCTCAAATAAACACACACAGCATAAAGAAAGAGAAGAGTATTTGAATACCTTGTGCCTGAGCTGCAGAACTGTGGGAATACCCAAGGGCCAAGAGTGCTGTCTCCACCAGCTGGCTGAAGAGCACGTCTTTTCGAACCAGTACAAACTCTGCATGTTCTTCTCTGTTGTCATATTCAAGAGAGCTGTCCAACTGCTCCACCACGCAAAAAACAGGAATCATCAAACCTGGATGGATTTTTAAAAATTCAAAAGCAAAACAAAAACATTACAAAGTAAATACCAGCAAAAACGATGAGGGAGAGACAGTTATAAAAGTCACTCATCTGTGCTTGAAAATGGTTTAGATTAAACATGTCTCCTGGATGCATCAGCCTAATGGAAATTTGAGTGGAGAGAGAGTGTGTGAGTGTGTGTGTGTGAGTGCATGTGTGTGTGTGTGTGTGTGTGTGTGTGTGCATTTGTGTGTTCCCCATCATTACTAGCAGACTGCAGCATATTAGCCTAAGGGTTGTGGTACAAGCACTATCACTTCATTTAAAACTAGATTGGATAAATCATTGGTATACTTACTGTAGGACTATAAGTTAATGTTAGCAGAAAGATCTTTAGGGCCTCTGATTTTCTATAATTTGAAACTATTTGTTGTTCAACATTAATATTTTTGGATCAGGCTTACTTTTGCCTAGAAGTTCATTTAAAAATAAATATAACTTTAAAACATCGACCATGGCTATTCTACTATTTCAGAACCAGCATTGTTCTGCTGAATGTGCAAAAAAAGTATTAAAAATAAAATACTTAAACCTCTATCAAGTAACTATTATGTACGGAGCACTGTTCTAGACGCAAAGTTTAGATGAAACGCAATTTGTACCTTCACAGATCTTACAATCTAGTAAGAAGCTGGAAAAAGGTTCCTTTTAATTATTTTTATTATTCTCATCAAACCTCGAAGAAGGAAGAGTAATGGATTCAGGTTGAGGACCTGGATTCAAATTCTAACACTGTTACTTACTGTATAATGTTAGCAAGATAACCTCTCTGACCTCAGTTTCCTTTGCTAAACTAAATGACCTCTAAGGTCCTTTCCATCTTTAAGTCCATGAACTATTTGGTCATCAGTTGACATAAAAGAAGTTCCTTCAAGCCCCTGACCCTAGATGTTTTTATCTTAAATTGAACTTATGTTAAAATTAGCATATACTTACAAAATATTTTGAGAAAATGCACTGTCAACACCAGGTGCAGCTGAAAAGGGAATCTCTTTTTTTGGCTTTTAAAGGCTAATTGGAAATCTGTTGTCATTGAAATGTTTTTCTGCTTTGTATTAAAGTGTGAAATGTTAAGCAATGTGTAATTCACTGGAGTTTTTTTTTTTTAAACTGCTTTTCAGTGTAAACAAGTCAGAGGGGCTTTTAACTCTAAACTCAGCAGAGATTTGAAGATCAAGGTTACACCCACAGAGAGGTAATGAATGCTGATATTTCTTACAGGATCCACTGTTATTGATATATCACGAAACAAGAATCTTCACTGGGGTTTTGGCTTTATCTATTTGCTGGTGGCAGCAAAATAATACAAAGTTGGAGGGGTGAAGGGGGGAGAGAGAAAGAAGAAGGAGAGACACAGAAAGAATATGAATGCGCATTTATGTATGCATTTATTTGTGTCATTTGTGAACTCAGAAGGTAGGACAGATGGCAAAGGCTACCTTCCGAAAATGACTTGTTTTGTAAAGCACCTATAAGTCTAAGTCACATGTAAATGCATATAATCAGGGTGATTTTGAAGGTTCCTTCCTCTAACATCCCTAATAAGGAATCTACTGACTCATTTTGTTCTTCTGAAAGCCAGAGGGTAGAAGACAACATGCTGGAAATTATAGTGAAACCGATTCAGATTTTTGTTCTAAAGATAATAAAATGGTTCAACTAGTTCCCATGTGCTAATTATTATTATTAAAGCTAATAAGTATTGGGTATAATTATTAAATGTAATAGTTATTAATGGTAATAATACTCATTAAGAATTGTTATCATTAAAATATCATGATCATTATCATTAAGACTATACAACAGTCTAACAAGTCACACCATACCTATGACTTACTGCTGAAGGTTAATTTTTAAGAACGGCAATATAGCATTAGTATCTACAGTGTCTGTACATACACACAGAGATAACTTTGGGTAAAGACAGAAAAAAAGCAGATTGATTTCTTTTTTTTTTAAGAAAAACAAGAACTCTTAACTTGGATAAATGATATAGTATTAAATGCATTGTTGTTTTAACTGGGTGTGATTATTAGAATATATGAGAGAATGTAATTACTCCACAATTATTCAAATCCACAAACTTTCAACAACTAACCAAAGGAGCATAAAAATTTCCTGAGCAAAAATTAAGAAACTTTCCTCTACTATTCACAATAGAGCTTGACTGTCATGCAACATCTCCTTATGTAAACTTCTTAACTCCTAGGTCTATTTCATGGAATCCCACTAACAAAAATCTGAATTACCTGGCAGGTCAGCTTTCTGGTGATGAATTATTCTCTATATAAGCTTGGCTAGCGATTAGATAGCCAATACAGTTAGTCACATGGGCCAAACCAAGTACTTTCAATAAGTCCAAATTTCTTAACTACCACAGAACACAGCAACCCTCATTAACACCAATATTCTGCAACAGAATGGCAAATCAATGAATGCCACAATCTCAGAAAAATCAACTGATCATAATTATAGGCTTTAGCACTTTAGCAATGACATCTTTAGAAAGAGAAACCATATAAATGACAATGAGGACTTGGACAACCAGAAAAGGACATGGGTCAGTTGGTTATCTTTATATCAAGACAAAGAAAAAAACAAGACAACCTGAGAGATACGAAGGTACACTAACTGGATGTTTTAAAAATCAGACAGTACCTCCAACTTGTTGAACGGATGTGTCCTATGTGTAGGATTTCTAGTTTAGATAGACAAGACATGAAAGGGGGGATTATTCATGACAATGAAACAAACAGGTCACCTCTCAGATAAAAAAAAATATATACATACATAATCCTTTTAATTTATAATCCTTTTATAATCTTTAGCACAGTGCCATGCACACAATAGACACTTAATATTTGCTGAATTGAAGAAAGCCTATTGATTCCCAATGATTCAAGAACACATAATACATACAGTGGCGCCATAGAGTTTTTAGTGCCATAAGTTATTTCATTGACAACACCTCAGTATACATTGGTTTTAAAATTATAAATCTATTTCTGATTCTTGGTGTCAATAATTATGAGACAGTCAGAAATAACAAATAATTTTAAAGAATTCCATTTCTCTGAACTTTATAACATGTTCAGTGGCTACGCCCTCTTAATTGTGTGGATAACTAAAAATCTTGAAGCCTTGTTTTTCTTAAGCATTAGAAATTAAATGAAAATGCATATGAAATTAATAACCAATGCACAAATATGCACTATCTATATGGGATATTATTTTCAAAGACCTAGCTGTGATGGTGGCTTCAAGCCCAATGATACTTTTTAGATATTTCAGATCAGTGTTCTTGGTGGTAACTGCATGGAAGCATTAGCTAGCTGCTGCCAAAGGTTAAGACAGCCCCATGAATACATAAGTGTCTAATAAATACTAGCTGCTACAATGACAAAACAAGATAATACTTTATATTTATATAGTGCTTGTAAGGTTTTCAAAGTGATTTCTTCATAATAAATTTGTGAAGAAGTACAAGCATTATTATACCGCCTTTCCTGATAAAAAGACTGAAGCTCTGAAAGACTGTGACTCACACATTATCATGCAACTAATAAGTATCTCATAGGATAATAAATTTTCAGCTGGAAGGGACCTTAAAGACCACCTAGTTCAACCCTTCATATTTTATAAATGAAGAAACTGAGTCCCAGACAGGTTATGTTAAGGTCACAAGCTAGGATTTGAAACCAGGTCCTATAGCACCAAATCCAGCATGCTTTCCATGTATTATGAAGTGATAATGATATCATAAACTCTTGGTCAGGCTTGGCTCTGACAGAAGTAACCACGAGATTTGGAGTAAGTACTTTTACCTTGCTATGCCTTAGTTTCTTTTTTTATAAGAGGATGGTGATGACACTTGCCATTTATCTCATGAATTTAGAGATAATTTCTGAACTAATATATTTAAAATAACTGAAGCCCCTTGTATGAAAGGGTTACATAAAAGGAATTACAATTGACCTTTGTTAATCCCTAAGAAAGATGTTTTTAACTGATATATGATGTAAAAATAAAAGTTTATAGTAGAATGCAATCTTTACAAAGGTAGAAAGAAATGCACTTACTGAGTACAACCACAAGGGAAATGGATATAACACTGAAACACAAGATTAGGGGGAAAGGAAGTAGAGAGGTAGACTCAAAAATCCTTTATAAGAAACCCCCTTGGAACAAACTATAAAGAGAAAAGACAGGAGAGAGAGAGAGAGAGAGAGAGAGAGAGAGAAACAGTCATACAGAGACAGAGACTCAAGTATTCTGCCTACCCTAAGTAGAAAAATATGAAATTACAAGCACAACCACAGCATGAAAGTCACCATTCTGGAGAAAATATTTTAAAATTTTAAATTAGAATAAGCAAACATAGAAGAAGTAAATGAAAATATAATGACAGCAGGAGTTAAAAGGAAACGTTCTAGGAGGTAAAAGAAAGTCAACTTTCCAATACGGCAACTCTACAGCATACAACTTTCCACACTTTTTAAATTATAGCTCAAGCCTATATCCAGATGATCAATTAGAAAACTCTGAACCCTTTGATTATAAATGTTGCTAAGCTCCTTACAACTGAGGGAGTTAAATTTAGAAGATAGGCCCACTGCTCAAAACATTTGCTAAAAAGTAAACATTCTTGCAGTTGGAACAAATTGTAAATTTCATTGTCATAGAAGTATAATAAACATGGGATCCCCTTTAAAATGAATACTTATTTTACTAATAATCATGTTTGTTCCATTACTGGTGAAGATCAATTTGTCATTTGTATTACCAAAGTACCAAAGCCAACTGTCCTGAAGTTTGGTTTGTTTGTTTCTTTGCAAAGCATTTACCAGAGTTTTGGGTTATCCCTGAAACAACTTTATGAAGCAGGTCATTATTATACCCATTTTAGAGATGAAGAAAATGAGATTAAGTCAGACATTTCCCAGGGCTAATCTA